TTTCCATAGAGGAGCAAAAGGCGGGCAGCCCAGGGCACATGGCTGCCACACCGGTGTGCACACAAGCGCGGAACGCTGCCGCAGCACCCCAAAGCCCGGATACTTTGTGCTAGCTACAAGGCCATGGAAGAAGCCAGTCTCCTTTCATAATGTGCTGCAGAGAATTTCTACTGACCCCGTAGATGACCCGATACTCCTAGTTCAATTGATTGACCCAAATCGTTTCTTCCAAACAGGCCCGCTTCCAGATGACGGTCACTCAAAGGGAACATGTCCAGATACCCCGCACAGCAGCCCTTTCAGAAAGGGTATTGGGTCACTTCAGTGGGGTGTGGATGGGGGGGGGGGGGGGGGCTGTGCTCACTTTTCTTTTATGAAGGGTCTGAAGGCAAAACAGAGTAACGGCTCTCCTTGTCTCCCCATGAGCTTTCACCACCCGCTCGGGGGATTCAGCTGTTTGGAGCTTGAAAACGAATACAGTGCCTCCCACAAACACAGAGCCCCCCCCCCCCCAATCAAGTCATAGTAGTGCAGGCCTTTTCCTCTCAACCGCTCCAGAGGATTAGCTTGAGACTGGAATCCATTAGCAAAACATTTAAGAAATAATTCCGATTAAATTTGTGGCTATGGCTGGCAAGTGGAGGTCAGAGGGCAATTTTGGGGAGTGGATCTCTCCTCCCACGTGGTAGCGAGTCTCTGGGATTGAACTCAGAGCATCAGGCTCGGTGCCAAACCCTTTGATCTGCTGAACCATCTTTCCAACACCTCCCTGCTGTGTTTAACCGGGGCTGCCAGCCCCACTTGTCTTCATCTTAAAAAATGCTTCCATGTTTTCCATAACCTCTGAAAGTTCCTTTCATTGCTGTTCAAATATCCCCGATTTGAAGGTCCTACCTCACTACTAGATAAACCCCAAATGCAAGGAGCTTATTAATACTCCCTTTTCAGACAGGCAGATGGCTCAAGCCTGTAATCCCAACATTTGGTAGGGGGAGGGAGGTGGACTGCTGGGACAGGTCAACCTGGCCTACACAGAGCGTGAACTTGTCTTTGAATAACTAAATAAATACCTCCAGGAGAAATAGCGCCACACTGAGAACTTGAGGAAATTCTCTAAATAAATAAACAAAAAGTTATCGATTATGTAGAAGAAATAAGAAGGTATAAAACAATGACATTTTTAAGCTATAGAGGACTGGACAAGTCCCTTAATCATCGGAGCCTGTTTTCATTACTGTAAACTGGGACTAAACAAATTAGTGTGTAAATATAGCCGATATCTAGTATACAGTAAGCACTCAATAAATGCTATGATTATAATTGGTAGTGTGACTAGCTGTAGTGCAGTACACATGTTATAAAATTCACCATTGGTCAATAGATAAAATGCTAACATATACCAGGGATGTGTCCAAGTACTCTTCCCAGTATATAACTTACATTGTCTTCAAATTATGAAACCTCTAAAATATTTGACATATGACAGCAAGAGTGGGACTTGAAAATATAATAGCTCAGTGGTAGAACACTTGGATAGCACTTGCAAGGCCCTGGGTTCAAACCCCAGCACTGAAAAAAAAAAAAAAAAAAGGCCCCACAAGCAGTGGGGCCTTTTATAACTCACCCAGCAGGGCTAAAGTGTTCCTGGCTAATTGTATTTCTTGTTCATTCACAGCTGGAAAAAACCCAGAAATCAGCAGAAACATATCACTCCCGCCTCCTGGTTAGTCATTCTCCTAGGCAAAGGCAGATAAGAATTGTGTCACGGGCCCTGGAGCAATACATTAAGAAAAGCCAGAGGCTGAGGACCAGGAGATGTCTGTGGTGTCTGATGTCCCTGTCCTCAGTCAGTTCCTGACCATAAGGAGAGGGTAAGTGTTCAGATACTGCTAGTAAAATGCACTGTAGAAAAGTGAGGGGCGTATGTGGCACTGTGTGTTTGTGTGTGTGTGTGTGTGTGTGTGTGTGTGTGTACATGTCATGTTTGCTAGGTGTGTGTGCACATGTACACTCATGTGGTAAGACTGACTTCCACTTTTGGGGGGCGGGTGAGGGAGGGGCGAGAGCAGAGTCCCTCAGTGAACCCAATACTCCCTGGCTGGCTGGCAGGGAGCTGCGGAGATCCTCCTGTCTCCATCCCCCGCCCCCGCTGAGACCATCCAGTGTTCAGGATGTGCCTCACCTTCACATAGTTGCTGGGGACTGAACTCCGGTCCTCACCTTGCACAGCAAGCACATGGCTGACTGGGTCATCTCCCTCCCCAGCCCCGGAAAATGCTGTGGCTGACTTACATTATATGCCCTATCTAAGTTACTTGACAGACACGGGCTGTCTTACAGTGTATGTTTCAACAGCTTTTTGTTTATTGAACTCTTATTTGTAGCCCTGGACCAAGTACTTTATAGGTATTGTCTCATTCCAGCTTCTAGTACCCTCGTGCAGTATTTTGAACATATTAAATAATGTTTTTATTACAAAAGGCTCTGTTTTGATTCTGAAGACTTTGGAACCTGGAGTTTTTAGGCCACCAAGCCAAGATCACGCAGCCTGTAAATGACAGGTGTGAGTTCTAACCTAGGCACAGAATATCCAAAGCTTATTTTCTTCACTTATACCAGACTGATCTTTTTTAATCCTTTTGTCTAAAAAATTAGCATTTTATTTGTTTTTGCTTTGATATAGGGTTTTGCTGTATAACCCAGGCTGGCTTCAGACTCAGTCTGCCTATCTTTGCTTCCCAGTACTGGGTTTATAAAATCCCTTTTTGATGACCCAAAACTTGATGCTTTGCAGTTCATAAGTTTGGCGATTATTATATTCAAAATTCTTTCTTTGTGGCATTATGATTTTATATATCCATTTTTAAATGTGACTTTAAAAGTAATTAAGGCATCTAGTAAGATGCCTCAGCAGGTAAAGGGACTTGGCACCCAGCCTGATGACCTGAGTTCAATCCTGGAGACCTACATGGTGGAAGGAGAGAACTGACTCCCACAAATTGTCCTCTGACCTCCACCTGAGCACCATGGCCTACACCCATGTGTACATACACACACACACACACAGAGGGAGGGGGAGAGAGAGAGAGAGAGGCAATACACACAAATAAATAAATCAATCATGGTCCTTGAAGTTAGATTCACTTGGAACTAAATCTGAGCTCTACTATTTGCTACAAGTCATGTGACCTGGGCAGGGTCCTCTATCTTCTCCTTCCTCATTGGGGTTACAGTTGTAACAGCGTCTAACTCATGGGGCTGACATGAGACTCACATAAGGGAATGGAAATCCATAAGGAAGGTTCACCTCTAAGTGAGTGTTCATGGGCAACCCCTCCCCTGAGTTTGGTAATCCAACATGGAGGAGGTGGGTATTTCCTCTCACCAAAGACTCAGAGCTTTAGCTTGTCTGATGCATTTTAGGGGGCAGAGAGGCCAGGCTATCGGGGATCCTCTGTTAAGAGCACTGTATCTGTGGTCTATGGTGACGTACAGAGAAACTTCAAATATTTTCTTTTTTCTTTCAATATTTCAGCATCATCTAAGAAGTGGAGAAAGTTATATAAGCATTAAGTAAACCATTTCAGGGCTGGTAGGATGGCTCAGCAGGTAAAGGTCCTTCACAAACAAGCAAGAGTGCTAAATTGAGTTCAACCTTCCAAACAAACCTAGAGAGAAACAATTCCAACAAGTTGTCCTCTGACATGCATGCTGTGCCCCCATACCCACAAATAATAACTTAAAAACGAATAAGATGGTTCAAAATCCCTGTAACTATAGGAAACAATTCATCAGAATGACAATACTTCCACAGATACTGGGGCCCATGTTAGTCACTAACTTGCTCTTTAGACCAGGCTGGCCTTGAACTCGGAGATCTGCCTGCCTCTGCCTCCCAAGTACTGGGATTAAAGGCCTGTGCTACTACCACCTGGCTAGATTTTTTTCTTGGGTGGTGGGGTGGTTGGAATACAGGACTGCTGTGCATATCCCTGGCTGACCTGATTTTTTGTTTTTTTGTTTAGGCATAGATTTGTACAGAGCACCAGGATGATGAAGGGTTTTCCTCAAAGTATTTCAGAAAACACTAAATGTGAGAGATTCTTGAGCTGACATGGTGACTCAGTTTTCATGACAGAAGTGTGAGATGCGAACAAGGATAAAGCCAGGGAGCAGTCAGTCAGCACCGC